TATCCTAATTTATATCTATCTATCTATCTATCTATCTATCTATCTATCTATCTATCTATCTATCTATCTATCTATCTATCTATCTATCTATCTATCTATCTATCTCTATCCTAATTTATATCTATCTACCATCTATCTCTATCTATATCATCTGTCTGTCTGTCTGTTTGTCTGTCTATCTATCAGAATAGAGCTAACTCCACCAGCCTAGTCCGAGAGACCCCCCCCACACCTCTCTTCTCCCCGAGCCCTCTGGGATACGACCCCCTTGGCTCAGCCCCACCGAGGCTGCGAAGGGAGAGACGACCCTGCAGGCGTTGGTGAGGGGGGAGAAAGCGGGAGGATCGGGGGGGGGGACCCTCGAAGTGGGCTGCTTCGGCGGCTGTTTTTTGGGGGTGGGGGGCGGGCGACCCTCCATCGGAGCTCTCCCAACAGCCAGCTCCAAGGTGGGGGGGGTCTTGGGGGTCAGGGTGGGCAAGTAGGTGGGGGGGCAAGTAGGTGGGAAGGCAGCGCCCCCTCCCCTTTGGCAAGGATCCTTTCCCTTCCCCTCCTCCACCAGAGAATCTTACCTGGCCTGCCGGTGCTAGTTGGAAGGGGGGACGCTTACCTGGCCGGCCCCCTAGGAGGCAGGGGGGGCGCTTACCTAGCCGGCCCTCTAGGGGGTTCGAGGGGAGGAACAGGCGCCCCCTTGAGGCTTTCTTTGGGGTGGGGGCGCCGCTACCGATGTCCTGGCAGGCTGCTCCATCGGACCTCTCCAACATCTGTTGGAGAGGGCGGGGGGGCTCCGGTGTGGGGAGGCCGCCTGCAGGGTGGGCAAGTAGTTGGGGGGGCCGCGACCCCCCACCCTTGGCAAGGAGCCTTGGCCTCCCCCTCCCCCGCCCGGGACGCTTACCTGGCCGGCCGCTCCGAGGAGGAAAAGGGGGCGCAACGGAGAGCACCCCAAGGTGGGGGAACACCTGTGCGCCCAGGGCGCACGGAGAAGTGGAGGTCTGCGCCTTTGTTGGGGAGGGAGGAGGAGGAGGAGGACTACGACTCCCGGCAGCCCCCGCGGGGGGCTCCGCCCACCCCTCACCCACCCCCCTGGCCGAGCCCCCTCCCCTTTCCCCCCCCTCCCCCTGGCACAGCCGAGGGTCCTCTCCGGCAGCAGCTCCGCCCGGCGGCCGCGGAGAGAAAGGCGCACCCCCAACCCTCAATCTCGGGGTCCCCGGCGCCCAAAGCGGGCAGGGGGCGAGGAAGGGCGGGGGAGGGGGAGACCCGTCGTAGTGCGGGGCGGGCGAGAGCTGGTCGTTAAACGGAGCCAGGAGAAGGAGGTAGGGGAGAATGGAGGAGAGAGTCCTAGCTGGGGGGACTAGTACGGGGTGTGTGTGTGTGGGGGGGAAAGGACCCCAAAACGGGCTCCCCCACCCCCAGCCCTCCTGCACGGGGGTCTTCCTGGACCGAGCGAGGATGATGATGATAATAGTAACAGTAATAAATAATAATGATGATGATGATGATGATAATAGTAACAGTAATAATTAATAATAATAATAATGATGATGATGATGATAATAGTAACGGTAATAATTAATAATAATGATGATGATGATAGTAACAGTAATAATTAATAATAATAATGATGATGATGATAATAGTAACAGTAATTAATAATAATAATGATGATAATAGTAACAGTAATAATTAATAATAATAATGATAATAGTAACAGTAATAATAATTAATAATAATGATGATGATAATAGTAACAGTAATAATTAATAATAATGATGATGATGATGATAATAGTAACAGTAATAATTAATAATAATAATAATAATAATCATGATGATGATATAATAGTAACAGTAATAATAATTAATAATAATAATGATGATGATGATGATAATAATAGTAACGGTAATAATTAATAATAATGATGATGATGATAGTAACAGTAATAATTAATAATAATAATAATAATAATGATGATGATAATAGTAACAGTAATAATTAATAATAATAATGATGATGATGATGATGATGATGATAGTAACAGTAATAATTAATAATAATGATGATGATGATGATGATGATGATAATAGTAACAGTAATAATTAATAATAATAATGATGATGATGATAGTAACAGTAATAATTAATAATAATAATAATGATGATGATGATAATAGTAACAGTAATAATAATTAATAATGATGATGATAATAGTAACAGTAATAATTAATAATAATAATGATGATGATGATGATGATAATAACAGTAATAATTAATAATAATAATAATGATGATGATGATGATAATAGTAACTG